CTGTCGCTCTGCAGGTGCAGGGCCAGCTCCGTGATGGGCGCCAGGGCCTCCCTCACCAGCGCCTCCTCCTGAGACTCGTAGAGGCAGCGCATCAGCTCCCGGATGTCCGCCCTGGAGGAGAAGGGCCAGTCCCTGCTGCGCGTCACTCTCAGCAGCTCCTGCCTGACGCCCAGGGACACGCGGCAGCCGAAGGTGGCCTCCAGCTCCCGGGCCCTCTCCTGGTTGGCGAGGCCGAACAGGAAGTAGCCCACGCGGGTCAGGCTGGGGTTGCGCAGCCGCTCCTCCTTGGACAGCAGCGCGCATACATTCCAGATGTCCGGCGCCCAGCTGACCGCGTCCCCCCGCTCCGCGCCGTCCAGCAGGTAGAACAGGGCGGCCAGGAACTGCTGGACGCTGAGGTGCAGGAAGGCGTAGCAGCCCTCGCAGTCCGCGTCCGCCTGCAGGACCTTGCCGTCCAGGAAAGGGCGCAGGTCGGCCTCGCTGACCCCCAGCTGCCCGAGGTCTTCGCCATCGAACAGGGACGTCTGCGCCCAGATGCCCCAGGCGGCCAGGAGGCTCAGGGCCTGGAGCGCAGTGGGGAGGTGCGGGGCGGGGCCGCTGTCGGGGGCCGCTGGGGGGCACTGGTTGCACAGGAAGCGCAGGAACAGCGAGGTGGGGGTCCGGCAGGTGGGGGCCGGGTCCTCCCCCTTCTCCAGCTGCCCCTTCAGACACGTGCACACGACCCAGCACACGGCGGGCGCCGCGCCCATGTGGAACAGCGCCGGGCTGCCCTTCATGCCCTCGAAGGCGCGCAGGGCCTGGTCCTGCTGCTCAAAGTGCTTCAGGAAGTAGCCCCTGCGGTCCGCCTCCAGGAAGCCCTCCACCTCGATGAACAGTGGCTGGTCCACCAGGAGCCGCAGCTCCCCCAGGGCCTCCGGGCGCGTGGTGACCAGCAGCGTGGCCTTGGGCAGCAGCTTTCTCATCAGCAAACTGCCCAGCAGGACGGGCACGGGCTTCGGCTTCTCCCAGTCACCACAGATATCATGGATGAGGGACCCCGAGGGCGCTCTGAGCTCCTCGAAGCCGTCGATGACCACCAGGATCCTCTGCCCCTGGGCCAGGACCTGGGGGCCGGCCTCCTGCGCGTCTGGGCATTTCTTAGCCAGGAGCTCCGCGAAAGTGCAGGCGCCCTGGCGGCCCAGCCCCTTGCAGCTGAGGTAGAAGGCGGAGTGGAATGTCCCCGGGAGGTGGTCCTGTGCCCAGTCCAGCATCCACTTCTTGGCCAGCGTGGTTTTCCCCACGCCCGCCGCTCCCTGCAACACCACCGTCAGCAGCCTGCGCTGGGAGGAGGTTTTGGAACTGGAGAGCCATGTGGAGTTCTGGCTTCCCCCGATGATTTTGTAGCGCAAGTCATCACCGACCCCATCCCAACATGTGTGCTTCCAGATAGAGCAGAATTTCTCCATCGTGTGGCTCGGGCTCTCTCCTTTCCACCTGGAATGAGAGGCAATGCGGGAAAGCTGGCACACCAGTCACTCCACTTAACCAGAACATACACTTTGTAAAGGACCAGAAATGAGGAATACCAGGAAGGAATAAAGTGTCTCCTACTGTACCAAACATTGAACGTATAAGACAGTCTCTAAGACAGTATTTACCTACCTGGCTTCAGATAGATAGATAGATAGATAGATAGATAGATAGATTGATTTCATGAAGGAAGGGAGAGAGAAAGAAAAAAAAATGAATGATGAGAGAATCACGGATCAGCTGCCTCCTGCACGCCCCACACTGAGGATTGAGCCCGCAACCAGGGCATGTGTCCTGACCGGGAATTGAACCTGCAACCTTTCTGTGTCCAGGATGATGTTCAACCGACTGAGCCACTCAGCCAGTGCCATCATCCTCTGTCTCTTTTTTTTTTAATATATTTTATTGACTTTTTTTACAGAGAGGAAGGGAGAGAGAGAGTTAGAAACATCGATGAGAGAGAAACATCGATCAGCTGCCTCTTGCACACCCCCTACTGGGGATGTGCCCGCAACCCAGGTACATGCCCTTGACCGGAATCGAACCTGGAACCCTTCAGTCGCAGGCCGACGCTCTATCCACTGAGCCAAACCAGTTTCGGCCCTCTGTCTCTTTTTAAACTATCATTGGTATACACTCTCACATCGGTTCTGTTTCAAGGAGCAACATATCCATTCCACATTTATATACCTTACACTGCGACTCCCCCAGGTGAAGGGATTGAGAAGTATAGATTGGGAGTTACAGAATAGTCACCGGGGAAAAAATAAAATAAAATAATATTGAATGTAAAAAAAAAAAAAAGAATAGTCATGGGGATGTAAAGTACAGCACAGGGAAATAGTCAATAATATTGTAATAACCATGGATGGGGCCAGGTGGGGACTGGAAATATCAGGGGGGAAGGAACACTTTGTAAAGCACATGATTGCCAGTGGTTCTCAACCTTCCTCATGCCGCGACCCTTTCATACAGCTCCTCATGTTGTGGTGACCCCCCAACCATAAAATCATTTTCGTTGCTACTTCATCACTGTAATGTTGCTACCGTGATGAATCGTCATGTAAATATCTGATATGCTATATGTGTTTCCCGATGGTCGCGACCCACATTGAGAAACGCCGATGGTCGCGACCCACAGGTTGAGAACCGCTGGAGCCACTGTGTTGTACACGTGAAACTAATACATCATGTTGGATGCAAACTGTCATTTAAAAAGAGCAACAAAAACAAAACTGAATAACACACTATCCCACATACACGCAGGAAGCGACTGATTGCCGATACTATCATGAGAGTGTACCAAGGAACACGGAAGGCCAATGGACCTTGAGCATTAGCAGGGCTGACGCTGAGCGCCGATTGTTCGGGTTGAGATAGTGGTGGCTCGAAGCAATTTCCTGACCTGGTAACCTCCAAGTAAATGTTTACTGAACCTTACTGATCTTTACTGACCTTCGAGACGGTCTGTCTGCTACCTGTTTGCCGTGCTTTACTGAGGGCCAGATGTGTACCTCAAGCTGAACAAAAAGCAGAGAGGGCCAGGTCTCAGTGTGTCTCTTCAAGAAAGAGGCTCCACCTGGCCCCCGCCCCTTAATTCATATTTGTTTCTAGTATTTTCATTTGTGCGTCGGCCCCTCCTTCAGATCCTGAACCCAGCCGTGCAGGTCATGGCACATACAGATGTTGTATCATGGGATTGTACATTTGTAACCAATGTGATTTTATTAACCGATGTCACCCCAATAGATTTAATATTTTAAAATCAAAGAAATTTAATTTAAAAAGAACAAATATGCCCAACCAGTATGGCTCATGGTTGAGAATTAACCCATCTACCAAGAGGATGCCAAGTCAGGACACATGCCTGAGTTGTGGGCTTGATCCCCTAGTGGGGGCACCATGCTGGAGGCAGCCAATCAATGTTGGTATTTTTCTCTCACCAATGCCTCTTTCTCTCTCTCTCTCTCTCAAATCTAAAATCAATAAAAATATATTTTTTAAAAAAGAACATATTTGCCAATGATACATCTGATAAGGGGTTAATTTCCAACACACAACTCATACAACTCAACAAAAAGACAAACAATCCAATTTAAACATGTGCAAAGGCTCTAAATAGACACTTCTCCAAAGAGGACATAGTAGTATAAATTGCCAAAAGTCATGAAAAAAATGCTCAGTGTCACTAATCATCAGAGAGATGCAAATTAAAAATACAGTGAGGTATCACCTCACACCTGTCAGGATGGCTACCATCAAAAAATCAAAAAACAACAAGTGCTGATGAGGATGTGGAGAAAAGGGAACCCTAGTTCACTGCTGGGGGGAATGCAAACTAGTGCAGCCACTGCGGAAAACAATATGGAGTTTCCTCAAAAAATTAAAAATGGAACTGCCATTTGACCCAGTGATCCCACTTCTAGGAATATACCCTAAGAATCCCAAACACCAACTAAAAAGAATAAATTCATCCCTATGTTCATAGAAGCCTGACCCAGTGATCCCACTTCTAGGAATATACCCTACGAATCCCAAACACCAACTAAAAAGAATAAATGCATCCCTATGTTCATAGCAGCCTTATTTATAATCGCCAAGATCTGGAAACAGCCCAAGCACCCATCAGTAGATGAGTGGATAAAAAAGCTGTGGTACATTTACACAATGAAATACTATGCAGTTGTAAAGAAGGATCTATTACCCTTTGAGACAAAGTGGAGGGACCTGGGGATTAATATGCTAAGCGAAATAAGCCAGTCAGAGAAAGACAAATATCACATGCTCTCACTTATAGGTGGAATCTAATGAAAAAAATAGAACCAGAGGCATGGAAACATGGAACAGACTGGTGAATCTGAGGGTAGGGGGAGTGGATGGACAGGAAGAGATTAACCAAAGAATTTATATGCACATATGCATAACCCATAGACACAGACAATAGTGTCATGAAGGATGGGGTTGGGAAGGAGCTTAATCAGGGGAGCAGTAGAAGGAAAAAAGAGACATCTGTAATACTCTCAACAATGTTTTTAAAAAAGAACTTCTGCTCTCCATCACTGATACACAGCCTCAACCAATTAAATAAAAACAAATTAAAATCTTTATAGCCTCAGGCATTAAACGGGTAATAGTAGGGATGTGCCACAAGATGAAATGCAAGTGTTTAGCAATGACAGAGGGGAAATTATATACAATCAGAATATGTGGGGTGGGGGGGAGAAGATAGATCATGCAAAGTGTTTCAAAACACAATGGATAAAAAGAGATCTCTCTCTCTCTCTCTCTCTCTCTCTCTCTCTGTCTCCTCCCTCTTCCTTCCTCTCTCTCTAAAAATCAATCAAAACGTATATATATATATTTTAAAAGACAGAATTTTAATATAAAAATGCTCATGCTAAAATGTAAAGTCAAAACAGAACAAAAAACCATCAAGTCACACACTCAGCAAGACCTCCATCTCCTCAGATGGAAAAGTCATGGAAACATGGACAACCCCGGAATCCAGAGACCATGCTTGAGTGTCCATGTCATGGATGAGTTTGTCCTGACAGTGTCCTTTTTCAATGCCATCTTGGACCAGCATGCATTTGGTTTTGTGAGGCAGAAACTTAAAAGGAAGAGTGGGAGAGCGTTATGCTGAGCGAAATAAGCCAGGCAGAGAAAGACAAATATCACATGATCTCACTTATAGTTGGAGTCTAATGAACAAAATAGAACCAAAGGCACGGATGCATGGAACAGACTGACAGATCTCAGAGGGAGGAGGATGGGGGTGGGAGTGGCAAGAGATTAAATTAAGAATTTATATACACATATGCATAACCCAGGGACACAGACAATAGGGTGGGGAAGGCCTGGGGTGGGGCAATGGGGGGAATGGGGAACATCTGCATTAGTGTCAACAATATAAATTTTTAAATAAAATAAAATAAAAAACACTAAGCAGCCAACAGGAGTAAATTACTGTTTAGCAAACTCCACATTTTTTCAGGTTTCACCAGTTTTTCCACTAAAGCCCTTTTCCGTTCCAGGAGCCAATCCACGTGGCATTTAGTCAAATTGGTATTTCCATCAGCCTCCATGTCCTCCTGTAACAAGTTATCTGTTATCACTGTAAACCTATAGTCTGTACTAATAAAATATGTATTTTTACATAATGAAAAAAGTGGGGGAACACAGCACGACTGCCACATTTTTCCGGTTCCGACTAAAGGAAGTGATTTCGAGAAGGTGGTAGGTTAGGAGGTTAGTCGCCAGCGTGAGTGGGCCAGGACACACGGGTAAGCGAGGACTTGGAGGTGAGAGCAGCTGCTCAGAGAAACCCCATTGTGGGAGTGAGAAACCCCATTGTGGGACTGAGAAACCCCATTGTGGGAGTGAGAAACTAGGTCCGGCTGTGAGAGCCCACAGGGGGAAGGAAGAGGTGGGGTTCCTTGACCAGCAGATCAACCTGAGGGGAGAATGAGGTCTGGTGGAATTTATTTAGTTAATCCTCACCTGATTTATTTTAATATAAAAATGCTGAATGCATCCATGCAGAAAAATTACTGTTACTGCCGGGCACCTATAGTAACTGTTCATCCAATTATCACTTCAGTTGAGATTGTTCTTTGTAAGTGACCTTTTGTTGTTGTTGTTTATGATAGAGAGAGAGAGAGATCTATTGGTTGCCTCCCTCTAGTATGTGCCCTGACTGGGGTTGGGATGGAACCTGCAACCAAGGTATGTACCCTTGACCAGAATCGAACCCTTGAATGGGCCAGCTGGCGCTCTAACCACTTAGAAACACCAGCCAGGGCTGTCTGATAGAATTTGTTATGATACAATGAGGAGGGGAAAGGCTTGCACCTACAGAACGCACACACAGAAAAGTAGTATGAAGCAGGCGGGAAGGTAAGCAGAAAGTCACCCTCTGGGTCTATGGAGAGCTCTG